TTCCAGTATTGTGCCCACAATGGAGATGACTGAGGGGAAATGCCAGGAAAATTTTTTACATGAGTTTTTGGATTCTGTTTCTGGCTCCAGTGTTGACTCACTATGTGACCAGAGCATAAAAAATTTAACCGAGGCTGAGTTTTGCGTTCAATTAGATACCTGTGTCGCTGCAGCTCTCGGGCTACATTCCTGCCGTTTTAAAGGAGAACAATTAAATACTTATTCCGTAGTGCCTATAGCTGTGTTATTAGCGTTTGAGATGTATAATTTCTAAGGCATACTTGCATTTCTCTTGCTTTTTATACTTTCTTTTCTTACTAAGTTTCACTTCTCTTTATTTAATGTGTTAACAGTTCATCTTCTCTTGGATTTTCTCGTATTCTTCTCTTTTAATCTGTATTTGCTCCTTTACCCCCCTCCCCTTCAAGACACACGGTCTTAGCATAGACTAACGCTTCAAGCCATGTTGTTCATGACCAGCATATGCGAGAGGAGCGTCTTGGGTCGCTTGTATCGCTCCAGCATTTAGAAAAGGGAAAAGTTTGAGATAGGAGAGTCCTAGCACTGATCTTTGTGGGCGTTATTTGCCATGGCTCAGTTTGGTTGACTGTCTGATGTGCTGGAAACCATGCTTGCTTGCCCGCTCCCCCTGACTGGTGAGCAGGCGAAAAAGAATTCTTTGTTTTCCTCTTTGACTGCAAAGGCTGACGAACGTTGAGGAAAAGGGGGTGTTGTGTCTGTGCGTGAGGAGGGTGGAGAAAAATAACACAGCTTCTTTACTCCTCCTTTGGCTCTCTGCTAATGGAGGCAAAGGGAGGATACTGGCTCCTCCACGCATGTTTTAAGTTCTCCAAGAACAGTTCGCAGAACCCAAGTTGCTCATCGTAGCTTTGCTAAGCAGCTGCGTGGCAAAATCTGCTTGATTCTCAGTTGCTGAAAACCAAACAAAATCGGTCCATGTCCATTTGCTCGCAGCTTGAGAAAGCTCTGAGTAAGAGTCACATGAGCCATCTGTTTGCACGCTTACCAACCCAAGATTGCATCAGTTTACCTCGGACTACAAACTGAACTTCGTGTTTGTGCGCACTTTTTTTAACCACATGCCTCTTTACTGAAACCTTACCTACTTCTGACGCTTGCCGTCGGCATATAGATCCTGTCAGCTTGTTCGCTGGCTTTGCTTGAGCCTTTGTCACTTCTTTTTTTTTAAGAGCTCATGGTCTTACCTCTGCAAGTCTCCTAGAAATACTGGCTTTGAAAATGGGTTTTATACTTTTAAATCGTCTTTTACTTTTTTGGAATCGTAGCTTTTACTAGGTTAAGAAATGTGAAACTTTCACAGCAGCATCTTGACCTGAGCTTCCTGCTGGTTTTTATGTTTCTGTTCCGTTTTGAAAATATCATCTAATACGTAATAACTGTGTCTTTAAAACTCAGCTGCTTAGACTACAAGGCAACTGCTACTTCCTAGATAATAGGAAACAGTGCTGCTTTATTGTGTGGCTTGGTGCAATTTAATTTTATTACTGTTATTATAAAAATCAAAAAGAAGTTATTATTTTATCATCTGCTGGTGTATAATTTCTAACTGAAAAAAAAAAAATGTTTCCAGGATTACGGGCTAATGTGAAAACCAATTTCACAGGAACAGTTGTATATGGTATTTACAAATTGAATCACTGTAGTTCTAGTCTATAAGCCTGTTTTGCCAAAACTCGACTTCATAATTGCAGAAAAGCTGCAACGTATGGGTGTGACAGGCATGTAGTTTAGTGAAAATAATAAGGTTTGCGGGTTTTTTTAGTGTTATGCTAGTATTACATTATAGCAGTACCTATGGTGATCTAGGCGTCTGTGTGAGAGAGATGGATAGGTAGATACGGAGAGAGGGAGGGAGTTTTCTCACTTTGGTACTGTAGATAATGTCTAAAAGGTGCTTTGGAACATGATGTTCGGTCTGAGTTTGGGAGGTGTAGCTAGTAACTAAAAACTTGAAAGCGTGAGCTGTTACCTAAATAAAAGTGTAGGTCCCGTGGTAAATTTTCCCTAATCAAGGCAACTTTCTTAATGGTTAAAAACTAGAAATAGAGAAGAATAGGGCAAGGAATGTAAATAAAATGTCAGATAACTAATCTAAATTGACTTGCAGCAATTAGTAGGGAAATAAAACTTCACAATTATGAGCTCATAACCCCTCTTTATAAATGCCTGCTTTGAATCCAGGAACACGATCACATTTCATTTGGAAAGGCAACAAAGGTTTTAAGTGTGATAAAGGGTGAGATGGTGTGGCGCTATTCTTTCTGCAGAATCAGCTGTTTCATTCCACTCTGAAAAATTTATAGCTGTAAAGATAAGATATACACTGAAGAAAAAAAAAAAGGCAACAAAATAAAGCCCTTGAAATTGTGTTAGAGGGTGAATGACTATTAAGTGTATTGCTTCAATCCAACCAAATTGTTTAGTATGTTTATCTTGTCTGTAAACCGAGAAGATAAAGTTCCTTCCTTGACACAAATGTAGCCCTATCAGCAGCTAATGTGGCCTGTTAGGTCTAAGGAGAATCATTGCTCCGTTTTGGTATTTGTATCTATCTTGTAGGACTACTCAGTACTTTATCAAGCTTGATAAAGGGTATGCCATAAAACGCGGTCCAGGAGCCTACTGAACGTGGATAGGAGCGCTCTAGCCAGCTCTACTGGAGTTTGGTATAGGCTATTTTATCAGTTACTGGATTGTTGGCCCCAAAAAGCAGAAAATTTTATGCACGGATTGTAGAAGGATCTGGGCTTTTTCTGCCTGAACTTTGCTGTTTAATTTTGTGGCTAGAGATACTTTTCTTTCATATATGCCTAACAAACTGGTAGATAAACAATGACTTTTCTGTTTCAAAAAAGCAGGCCTGTGCTGATACCATGAGTTGAGTAGGCTTATTTGTTGATTGCATACCTTTCTGTTGTAATGTACTGTTTGCTGATGACGGCTCTGTTACCTCACCTGTAACCTTTCTGTTAAAAAAACGCTGTTAGCTGGTCTCCGGACTGAAGAAATGCAACTGTTTTTATTTA